TTAGATAGGAGGGTGAAGTAATGACTGGGTGGAGACAGGAAGGGTATTTGTAGTAATGATGTTCCATTTCTTATTTTCAAGAGGGTAAGTTACATGGATATATTCACTTTGAGAAAAGTCTGTAAACATAATACTTACAATTTGTTTTCTGTATGTATATTAATCTTAGTAAATATGTTTAAAAATTCCATACTAATTCCCCTAGGATTATTAGATGAATCAAATTGGTAGGTTCTGCTCCATGACTTGCACATTTCTCAAACCTTCTCTCTAGTTATTCTCCTTGTGTATGTAAATTTGTTTCAATATGAATCTTTTGCATTTACCTGAAAAGGTCATCAAGCAGGCAGTTTGATGATAGCCTCTCCCCCTCCCCTCCCCCCTCCCCTCCCTCTCTTTTTAGTACTGGAGAATTGAACCTTAAATAGAACTTTTCAATGAATGAAGGACCAGAGAAGCTGGTAATCCCTTACAGCACTTTTTTTGAGCTCAGGATGAATTAACTTCTTCCTCCTTGCCTTTCTCTACAGTATAGACGAATAAATTTACAATCTTGAACATTATTAATTGCCTATGAATTTCAGTATCCTTTTATTGGAACCTACTCCAGAAAGATACTCTGACTTGTCTTCTATTCCCAAGAATGTTACTCTTGACACAATCTTGGGTAAGATGCCCTAAAAAATCCCAAACTATAACATTCAAGTCAGGCTCCCTAAAGCCTTTAGAAATATCACCATATATCTATTAATTGACATGATAAAAGGATAAAACATAGCTGTGTATAAGGAAAAATATTTCATGGGGTCTGGTTTCACTTTATTTGGGTACTCAAAGTTGAAGGGTTCATTTGAAGGTTTTGAGGGTCTTAAACTACAAGTTTGTGCTGCTGGTTATTATTTCTCAAAATACTATCTTTTTGCTATAAAAATGCTATCTTTTTCATGCCAGATTTCATTAAGACTGTCCATCTGGTCTGTACTGATAACCAGAATCTCAGGATGCCAATTTTTCCTGCAATTTGTCATTTAAAACCATCCAGATATAGAAGAATTGGGTTTCACAGCTCCTTCCAGAGGATTTTGTTTTCTTAATCCTTTAACTGCACATGTTGAGTACTAATCAACAACAGAGAGTTCTAACAACCTATTAAAAAATTCCACTGTGTGTATTTTTTATTTGACCTGTTTTATGGGAATACAACCATGAAATAAAAGCACTGAAATCCGTTAGATCAAGGACCACAGTGAATATAATAATTTACAGTGGGGGAGAAAAAAATGAGAGCTAACATGAAAATTAAATTGTAGCAACACCTCCCCTTTACTTAGTTTTGTTTTCTATGGTTTCAGTTACTTGTGACTAACTGTGGTCAAATATTAAAAGGAAAATCCCAGAAGTAAACAATTCATGTTTTGTCTTGTATGCTGTTCTGAATAATGTGATGAAATCTTATACCCTCCTGCTCTATCCTTCCTGGGACATGAGTCATATCACTTTGTCTAGCATATCCATGTTGCATATGCTACCTGCCAGTTAGTTGTTAGTAGTTGTCTTGTTCATCAGATCAACAGTTTTGGTATTGCCAAGTTTGCATTTAAGTAATCCTTATTTTACTCAATAATGACACTAAAATGCAAGTGTAGCAATACAAAAGAGGCATTAGGGCATAACATATGGCAGAACAGATTAACTCTGGTACTATGTGGCAATGCTTTAAGGCCTATAAGAGAAATTGTAGTATAAATAGGGATGGGACTATCTGCAATTTCAGACATTCATTGGGGGGATCTTAGAAGGTGTAAGGGGAAGGACTACTGTAGAATCAAACTGTGTTAAGACTATAATTCTAAAAGACTTTATTTGTCCTGATTCAGGACTATGCCAATTGATTGAATAATCTCTATAAATTCTGGATCTTAGATTCTTAATCCAAGAAATGTGGAAACAAATACTTTGTGAAAAATAGAAGGAACACAGATAATGTTAAGTTGACTGCCTTGGGCTTCAAGTTTTAAGGGTCACAATACTGGTTATAGAAATGGCTTAGGCAGGAAACTATAAGGGAGAAGTCTGCCACTTTGAAGAGCTTCGGCCCCATTCCAAATCAAGTAATTCTTCCTTTTCTCTCCTATGTTCCCTCATCTTTCTCACTCTTCACCATATGGCATCTTTATTGTTTGTTTACCGAAAGCAAATTCTCATATAATTTCACACATATAAAAATGTGGCAAGTAGAAAAGAAAGGAGCATAAAGCACAAGATGCCAGGCTCCTTGCTGCCCTGAGATGGCCTTGATAACATGTGGTACAAACAATAAGTTCCTATTTGTTGAAATTCTGCTCTCATGCAGTCTCATGCTTATTTTATGTAAATAGGCCTGCAGAAACAATCTCAGAGAAAAAATCCCTATATTAAAATATTAGATGTGCGTCTTTTAAAGTGAAGTATAGAAATAACATTTCAAAAAGGTCAATAGAAACATGAAAAAATGCTCTGTGTGTAAAGGTGAGGCATAGAGACCTGGATGCTTGAGTGTTGGGAAGATGACCCCAAAACACAAGGTTTGTCTGAGGATTTTTGCAAAGGGATCCACTTTTCAGTTAAGCCTTTGTATCTTGGTGGTGGTTGTAGTGATGGAGTAGTATGTCAACATGGAGGTCTTTGAGCCAGGTAAGGACAAGGTGCTGCTAGTAACATATATTACCCAGTAACAATTCCAACAAACATCAGGGAAAGGAATTGTACTGCAGTGTCACCTGGACTAGAGCTGTGACATGGATTTTGACTTTTCCTGGATACTACCTCTGAGAATCCCTGACTTGGTTAATCTCCTCAAAAGAATTGAAATTTGTTAATGTGATTGCACTTGACCAGGCATGCAGAAGAAGAAATAGGAAGCAAATATTCTGAATAGGCACCAAAGTGGGTAACAAAGGTGTCATCAGGATGAGTTGTAAAGAAGGCTGTGTCTCCTGTCTGTACACTTGCCCACGGGAATGGAAGGCCCAGGAGAATACATATTAGCACCTGTTCTGGGAACGTATCTTGAGTGGAATTTCCAAGGGTAGACAATGAGAAAGAATATAAAGTGAGTTTACAGTGTTTGTGGTGTTGATTTCTACAGAATTTTAAATGTCAGTTGGTAGACACATATTGTTCATTCGAATACTTTCTATTATAACAATGATCTCAAAACAAAAACAAAAACAAAAATGAAAAACAATGATCTCCGAAGTGTATATGCATCTCTGGAAATTTTCATTAATAGCTACTTAAAGGCATATTTCAACATGCATATATCTGAGGGCCAGAGTCATAGCTACATATTTTAAAGCTCCTTTCAGGCTTTTTCATTATGTCTCAATTTATACAAAAGTTTGTAGTAGTCCTTGGGACTTCTACAGCCCCTGTCAGGTGATGATGACATAATACTTAAGTTCTATCAACAGTGACAAATCAAGGTTTGATTTCTCTTTATAGCTCTCTCAGTGATGAAATACCTGGGTTTAAGTATTTCACCTTTGTGCAGCAAAATGGTTAATTGTGAGGTAATATGCAATTTTAGAAATAAGCAACACGTCTTGTATTAAACACAATACAAAAACTGAGCTGAGCCCTGCTTTAAGGTTGGCATCATCATACAGCTGTGGGCCAGAGGCTAAAGTTTTGAAGGGAGTAAAAAGGTAGGCAGGCCTATTTTGTGCATTTATTAAGAGGGCTTTCAATGCCTCTGCTCATTTATTTTTTGAGCACAGGGTAATCTTACTTAATTCAGCAGGGAAACAAATGCACTAGTAAGAGAAGAAAGGCTCATCATTTACTGTTTGTATTTCAAAGGTATTTCAAATATCCTTCCCACAGAAGAGGCTGCATAGGGAACCAGACCCAGATGCCTACTCTGTCTCTCATGCACAGGGCTAAATCAGACAAGCCCGTGACATCTGGGTGTTCAAGGTGATGCACATTGTGTCCCAATGTGCAACTGTGGTAAATATATATTCTGAAGCAATGTCAAGTTCAGACCAGCAGCATGTACTGCTTGGGCTTTTAAGGGAATACGTAGGAAGAATGGTAAATGAAGCCTTAATTATTCGGGAAAAACCTCATTTGATCATCTGTTATTCCCCCCCAGACCCCTTCCCTTACAGAGAGATTTGATGCAGGAGGCAGGAAAAGACAATATTGAAGGTTAGGAAGAAGCACCCTGAGATTCTGACACCTTTTACTTCATCCTTTTAACTCAAGGACAAGCAGTGTTGGGTTAAATACAACGCCCTTTCCAGAAACTGGACGTGGCAGAAATCCATTAAAGTACATATATTTATCAGTGCAAAACCATGTATGATCCTGTGATAGGTGTCAGCGTCTCACCTGAAAGTACTGGGTGGAAATAGCTTCAGATCAAACTTCCCATATGAAGCCACACTTCCAAGCTTTATTTTGTGAAATACCTCACCTGGGTATTTTTGGTGTATCACCTGAGTATTCTGTCTATCAGGAGTGAATACATCATTATTTTCTGAGGGCTGAAGCAATCGTGCAGTCATTTCTAATCAAAGGTTTTATGATCACTGCTGGTTTTGAAATCACCTCGCCCTCCCGCAGTTCCACAGGGCACACCATCTTCGCGTGCGGTTTCTTCTCAAGTCTTTTTTTCTTTTTTCCTGTTTCCTTCCTAGCATCCCTTCCAAAATAATTTAATCTTTAAACTGCCTTAAATCCTTTTGCACGGAAGCAGGATAAAATTCTTAAACCACAGTTACATATATCAATACATACTCAGGCTCACACGTTTGAGGGATTGTTTGAAGGAGAAATGCGTTCCATACCAAGAACTCCAGGAGATGCGCACAGACCCCCATAGTCTCCCTCCCCACACCCGATCCCGAACTCTCCCTGCCTTTACATCTCAGAGGGGACAAAAATCCCCAAGCTGGAGCTCGCCCCTGGCCCGGGGTAGGGGGGAGCGAAGCCCCAGGAAGGTGTGCGCCCCTCACCTTGTGGACGGCGAGTGCAGCTCCAGAAGTCTCCCTAGGAACCGCTCCTTTATCTTTCGAGCTTTATCAAAGCGCCGCTTCTCTCAACACCCGGGTCTGGCGTACGAGGAGCCACGGGGCGCCCTCCGCTCCGGCGTCCCGGCCGCCCGGGCCCTGGGCCAGACTGAGCGGGGAGCGCGGCGCTCTGGGCGGCCGCGGAGCAGTGGGTGGCACGCGCTGACGGGCTGCAAGAGGAGGAGCAGGAACAGAGGGCAGTCTGTCAAATCAGCCGCGGAGGTTGCAGGCACGCAGGTCACCACTGGACGGAGAAGGGGGTGGGTGGGATGAAAAGGTGAGCCGAGGCGCAGTGCGCGGGGTGGCGCTGGAGGAGAACTGGGCTCCAAATTCCGGATCTGATGGAGCCCCAGGGTTCCCGGTTGCAAACACTAGAGGGCGGCGCTGTCCGTGCTATAAACCTGGCGTATGGAGCTGGAGGTGTGAACAAGGTCCCACCTTGGGTGCCCTAAATTGGCCGCAGCCCAGGCCGAGAAAGGCCATTTGGTTCGGCAGAGGCAGACCCTGTTCCCCTCTTCTGTAGCAAGGCTGCGCTGGGGAGGGAGAGGAAAAGAGTAGTGTAGGACTCCTCCATGGAAACCTTCTGGAAGTGGTTTTCCTTTCCCTCAGAAAGGAAAATGATAGTCAACATTCACAGGATGCATTAAAGGTCAGGTTGAGAAGAAAGGGAGGGGAGGGAGAAGTGGAAAAAACAGGGTTCCTGGAAGTGGAAGGAAACAGAGAGGTGGGGAAAATAGCGAAGAGGAGATGGGGTGGGGTGGTTGAAGCTGAGCGACCTCTTGAAGCACCGAGTTGTTTTGCTGGTGTGAATTCTCTGAAGGTTGACATTTCAGGTTGGTCAAAGACTTTGTCCTCTTATCGTTCCAGGAGCTCTCGGTTTTGCCGCAAGACCAGAGAAGTTAACCTGGGAGGGACTTTATAGAATCCTGGCGCTCTGAAGGAACTTTCTTTAGGGCTAATTATCTGTTTTCTGTTGGAGACTTGGGTAATTAAAACTTTGGATCTTTACGTGGATTGATTCCCTGATATTATGGGGGAAAAACAATGAGATTATTTGAACTGGAATTCTGACAGGAGAAGAACCGTAAAATGAACTCCCCCCCACCAAAAGACAGGTATGGGAGCTAATTATGGCCGTAGACAGCCTGATGCACCCCTTAGAATTAAAAAAACTTGAGAACCCGTGTAGACAGCCCATACAGCTTCCCAAAACTTGAGCTTTATGCTACTTTCTTGTATGTAGCTTGTCTGAACACAGGGGTATGTTTTAGTTTTTATTGTTTTGCAGCTTGAGAATTCTTTTTTAGTTGTTGTCAAATTATTTTTATTGGCAGCTTGAGAATTCTAAACAGATTAAATCCTACGTTTAGAAAAGGAAGCCTATATGCCCTTCATCCTGCTTTCTGGAGTGCATCTCGAGGTCAGCAAGAACTGAGTGATGGGTGTGAAGGAAATTTCACTGAGCAGGGAAAGGAAGGTTAATTAACTATAGTCTCAAACTGTGACTTGCATTTGTCTATCCCATTAAAATAAGAGAACAGATTTAAATCGACAAAATTTTACCAGTAGAATAGGGTGGGGAAATATTTCTCTACCAAAGAAAGATGCATCTTGAAATCTGTTTGATGATGAAGGTGCTATGTAAGAATAAAGAGAACAAGAACTATTTCTCATTTTAAAAAAAGAACCTCATAGAACTAAAGTTTTTGGATACCTCAAGAGTATTACTGGATAATAGTTTTACTCTAATATCTTTGAGTCTTTTCAAAAGATGAAAAGAGAGTTGAATTTATTCTGTTCTGTCTCTCTCTTTTAGAAAGTTAGCTTACCTGCTCTTTCGTTATTACAATGTAAACAACTACGGGAATATGTATTAAACACTTAGAAACTATCCTGAACATATTTCAAAATACTCCATTTTGGCAGATTGCAGGTTCATGAAGTTCATGGTTATTCTCAAGCTATTCATTAATGTCTGGGATATATTTTACTAGTTTTAATAAAATTCAACACCCACTTAATCAGGAACTGCTAATTTAATTTGTGGATTACCCATTTGAATTTCCAGTGAGCTCTGAGTGCTTAATGATTATAGGTATATGTAAATGACATTACCATTTCATAGTTGAAAATTTGTTGTAGTTAAAAACCTACCTTTACAGATTGAGTGGAACCCTGGGCATCTGGCATAACAAATTCATCACTGTGCAAAGGAAATTCATAAAGAATTAGTTTAGCAAATTCATTCATTTAAAAATGTTGATAAACGTTCCAGGCATGAGCCAATTTCTAGGAATATGATAAAGATGATCCAGTTTCTTGTCTCCCAGATCCTAGAGTTCAGTGAAAGACTGATTCACAAACTAGATAATCTGATTTAGAGTAATAGTCTGGGGGTTGGGGAAGTACAAGATGTACAAAGGAGGACAATCTAATTCTGCCTTTGGTGGTGGTGGTATGTGTGCATTTAGGGGGAATGTTGTTGGTAGTGGTAGAGAGCAGGAAATGATGAACAATGGATCACCTGCATCCCCCAGTTCACTCTAATCACATTTATTAACTTTGTTTGGATGCTAGAATCCTAATATATGAGGAAGCAAGGGTGCTCATCCATACTTTCTTACTAGAATCTAGATTACAAGCTTTATGAGCCAGAGACTGTGTATGACTTCTTCATTACACCAGTACAGAGAAGTGTCAAGACCCTGGTTGACATTGTCTGTGATTTCCTACCTCCACTGTGGAAGTGGGAATAAGCTGGGAAGGGAAGGAGTTAGGATGGAGAAGGCATTTATATTCATTAAGTTCACACCATCCTAGGTGCTCTCCAAGCATTATCCCACCAAACATTCCCAATAGTCCTGAGGTTCATATTGCATTCTATAAGCATTCTTTATCCATTGTGTCACAAAGGCCAGAAGGAGAGTGTGAAATGTCTCCAGATAGGTACCTCCATTTGTCAACTTTCAGTAAGCTATGGTATGGTAACAAAGCAAAACCCCCAAATCTCAGTGGCTTACTACAAAAAAGTATCTCACACACAGAACATGTTAGCTCTAGATTGGCTGTAACTCCACTCCACATGTTTATTCTGGGACTCAGACAGATAGAGCCAGGCCATTCTCAAGGTAAAAGGGACAGGAATAGTGGAACATCACAGTAGCTTTTAACATTTCTGCTTAATTATAGGATAAAACATTTCTGCTCAAATTTCATTTGTTTAATAAGTCACATGGCTGAGCTTGATGTCATTTGAATAAAAATAGGAGAGATTCCAAGGAGGGGCTTAGTAGAAATGGACCTAGGAATGATAAAATATTATGAACAAATCATTCAATTGGTAACAGTCTTCAGCAAGACTTTTGAATGGAGGCATTTTCTCTATTGATTTGAGCCTATTTGCTAATTGTGTTCAACAACTTCAGTATACAGGGAACAAGATAGTAATTCTAGGTTAAAGAATTTAATTGATTAGAATATGTCCTCTTGGTCTAAATTATATTGGTAGCACTTGGCAAGTTGTACTTGCCCCAGGAAAAAGCTCCACTTTCTGGTCACCAGCTGATTCTTCCTCGGTGACACATATGACTAATTGTTCCTGGGAGAAAATAAGTAAGGTACATTAGATGGAACAAGATCTCTAACTCTAGTGGCTTTGAGAATGGCTCATGGTAAACACAAATTTTCATCAAATGTAGTGGAGAGATCATTCACTGATGAGTGGTCATGGGTAATATACTGAATACCTCAAACTTGGAAGTTTGAAGGATACATGTAGAAACTAGTCCCTGTCTTCAAGGAGCTCAACATCCTAAGTAGGTGAAGGCTTACATGGATTACTATATGAAGAAGCTGAAGGAGCAGAGGAAACTCTGGCGGAATGGAGACTAAGCTAGTGTGGGGAAGGTGCACAGAGTAGAGTAGGCCATCTCTCTGTAGGACTAATCCTTCTATCTTCCTGTCCTTGGGGGCATGCTTCCATGTACTTAAGGGAGTTGTTTGAAGGTAGCAAGCATGTGCATCTGGGAACTCTCCAGCCTGATCCTCTCTAGATGGACAAGCCAGAAACCACATGCTATGACTGTGTGTTCTAAACAATTATGTTCTTTTGCCCTTGTTTTTGTATTAAGACAAGGTCTCCTTACGTAATTCAGGATAGCCTTGAACTCACATCCTCTTGCCTCAGCCTTCCAAGACCTGGAATTAGAGGCACGAGCCACCATAGCTGGCTCTTTGCCCCTGTTTCAATGAGTAAATAACTTTCAAGTGGAAACTATGAAAGCACAACCCTTCCTTCAGTCAATGTGCAGACTGAGTTTTATAAACTGGTATGAGGGAGGTGATGGTCACCTGTAAAAGTGATTCACATATTTGAGTATGTCATTCCATCTTGGGCATCTAACATGGAGAAATCATTTGGATCTGCTATTCCTGAGTTCTAGAGAAGGCTGGCAGTCCTTGTTCTGTGGTCACAGAAGGACTTTGGTGATTTGGAACTCCATGTTATGGCAGCCCCCTCCTTTCTTTTACCATCCTATGTGACAATATTTAGGCTGATTGTACAGCATTCTGATTTTACACTTCATGATTCAGATTCCAGCACAACCCCTTATAGTAGTGATCTTGGGCCAACTTCTTTTTTTTTTTTTT